ATATTAAAGAAATAAAAGTAATTATTAATAATAACATAAAATATTTACTACGAGTTTCAAAACGAAGAAAATAAATTCTTATAAACATCTACATTTTTTAACAAATTTGGCAATCACATTCGGGTGTTTTAAAAACCCTGTCGTATAATTTATCGGTTCAAAATTACTTTTTTCCCCGTATCTTTCACTATCTGAAGCTATACATTGATATTTTCATCACTGAATATGACCAAAGAAAAGTATTTTGTGAAATTACTTTCAAGGTAGTTTAATTTTCATGATATTGCCTGGGAATAATAATATCAAATTATAGTTGTTAAAATTTAACTAAGGTACACATTATAAGTCATTCAGTGTCCAAAATAATTTCACTGGTCGTTATATTTCTTAAAATTCAATTTAAATTTTATATGTCTAATAATTTAAAATTAAACGTACTTTCTGTATTCAACTTAATGGCATGTCTTCTTTCATAAATGTTTAATTCATCATTTAAACCCAATTTCTAAAGCATTTCTTTCCCAAGAATTATGGTATGTGTACAATAAAATGTAGAAAATCCAGAAAAAAACTCATACACGGAATATATATATACAAATATTTTGTTATTGCCATCTAGTGCACGATTATTACATTTCATATTATTTCAACCAATAGTTCTCAAACTTTTCAGGCTCGAGTACCACTTTTTGTTTAAACCTTTTTTCGGTACAAACCCGGGCCTAATTAAAACAAATAGAAAACCTCAGTAGCAAAAATTTATATTTTTAACACTTGCCTATTAATGGGAATTATGTGTCTGTCTTTTCTGGCATAACTGAAAATATCTGGTGTGATTTTCGTCAATTTGAAGGGAAGAACACAATGGCAAGTTTATGGCTGAGAAGGGCGAGTCTAGAAACTCGTGAATCTCAAATCGATCTCATTACAAATTTTATAATTTTTACGTAAATTTTTTCGCATACCACCGACATTAGCTCCAAGAACCACCAGTGGTAGGCGTACCATAGTTTGGGAAACCACGATTTAAACCAAATATACATTCCAGGGCCAGTAAGTGTATGTATATATTTTAATTTTAAAATATGTATATAAACCATTACTATTTTTTATTTCAGATTACTTTCTAAATATTATAAAACTATTAATGCTTTATTTAAATGTGTTTAGGATGTAGAAAAAACACAAAAAAACATTATTTCACAAAATATTTTTATTATAAACTGATCCCTAAACTTGTTTACATTTATATATATATATATAAAATCTCTCCACAAAAAGTTCCAGCTTCTGTTGCACTTTAAATATCATGTTCTTGGTCACCACATTCAACTTGGTTAAGTTATGTATTCCTGATATGAAAATACCTTGTTAACAAAATTAACCATCATAATAGTTGAGAATCTATACCTGTTCATATAACATAAATGGAAATTCTTTTTGGGGGCAAATCTATTGGTAGTAAATTATTTTTTAAGAACTTGATACATTAGACAAATCTACTTTTACTACCTGGTTCCATTTATAAATAATATTTAATCTTATACATGATAATAAAAATGATATAAACATGCATATTTTACATTAACCAACTTAAAAAATATCAAAGGCAATGACTAAATGTTTTTGCTAATAAAACGCAAAGAATTGTCTAAACTATGTGCAAAAAGTGCTATTAAATAATATTTCGTTAATCAAAAAATATGCACATCATTATAATCATCAATTTACTATTAGTAATAAAACTTGAAAAAGTGGGCAAAGGATGATCCATTATTATAAGTTACATACACCAGTTCTTTTTTACATTTGATAAGAAATATTCATTTTCAGAAATGAGTACAAATATATTCTTTGTGGAACTTGAGTAAATTAAGAAAAATTCCAAGAGCAGAAATAAAAATTTATATTTAACATCTTGGTCTACAGTAAGAAAACTATAATATACCAAAATGAAAATAATGATATGCATAACTAAAACATTGTAAATGTCAAGTATGTTACGAATAAAAATCTACAGAGCATAAAGCTATACGTTGATTACAGATGGGCATGTATGAATATTTTAGAAGACTTAGAAATAATTAATTATATTCTTATAGTAGACTTCGAAATCATACCCTTAAAGTAGACTTAGAAATCATACCCTTAAAGTAGACTCAGAAATCATTAATTATATCCTTATAGTAGACTTAGAAATCATTAATTATATCCTTATAGTAGACTTAGAAATCATACCCTTAAAGTAGACTTAGAAATCATTAATTATATCCTTATAGTAGACTTAGAAATCATACCCTTAAAGTAGACTTAGAAATCATTAATTATATCCTTATAGTAGATTTAGAAATCATTATTTATACCCTTATAGTAGACTTAGAAATCATTAATTATATCCTTATAGCAGACTTAGAAATCGTTAATTATATCCTTATAGTAGACTTAGAAATCGTTAATTATATCCTTATAGTAGACTTAGAAATCATTAATTGTATCAGTAGACTTAGAAATCATTAATTATATCCTTATAATAAACTTAAAAATCATTAATTATATCCTTATAGTAGACTTAGAAATCATTAATTATATCCTTATAGTAGACTTAAAAATAATACCCTTATAGTAGACTTAGAAATCATTAATTATATCCTTATAGTAGACTTAGAAATCATTAATTATATCCTTATAGTAGACTTAGAAATCATTAATTATATCCTTATAATAAACTTAAAAATCATTAATTATATCCTTATAGTAGACTTAGAAATCACTACTTATACCCTTATAATAAACTTAAAAATCATTAATTATATCCTTATAGTAGACTTAGAAATCATTAATTATATCCTTATAGTAGACTTAGAAATCATTAATTATATCCTTATAATAAACTTAAAAATCATTAATTATATC